GAAGATACTACTAGCGACGAGTCGATAATCGGCGGTAGAAACTTAAGTATACGCGGCTTCGTCGGGATTATAAATACGAAAGACGAAGACTTAGACTACGACCGCGTATTCGACCTTAAGAGACTAATATTTAATAGAAAATCGTACGCTATATACTAGATTTATACGTTAGCTACGTTACTTATAATTCGTATAGAAGGAAAGAGCTACGTACTACGATCTTCCGGCGTCTCTAGCTAAAGTTTTATATATAGATTAACGAGCTTATCGACCGTTAGGAAAGGTAATAGATTCTTAAATTTACCTCGAGCCGCTTAGACCGGTAGAGTTAGCTCTAATATAACGACCCGCCGCTCCCGAAGATTATACTAATTAAATTAAATATCTACGAAACTAAGACTACTTTCCTTATCGACTTTATATAACTTCGTAGTAACTACTATAGTTATAGATAGTAAGATATCGGTAAAGAGTAGATCCTTAGTTTTCGTTAAAGGTACTACGAATATAACGTAGAACTATACCTATACGAACTTAGTAAAGGTTATATAGGAGTAGTAGACGAACTTTCGGAGGAACGTAGCGCTTAAGGACGATTATACTAGATATATAATATATATTATCTATAATAAGCCTTAAGTCGTCCGATTTCCGATAGTAGATAATAATATCGGCCGTATTCCTAGTATAGTCTCTATACTAGTAGGTTATATTACGTTACGTACTAAAGCCCGACTTCCTATCGGCTCTAGTAATAAGCTAGAAGATTACCGTTATATAGCTAACTTAATAAGGAGCCTAACGAATAGTAAACGGAGGAAAGTAAGGAGGAGCGAATATAAAAGTAAATAGTCGTAGTAAAATATCGTACTTACGATTTTAAGTTATATAGAAGTAGCGAAAGGATTAAAGATACGAGATCGCGAGAGGAACTAAAAGTAAAGAGATACGGAGTAGAGTAGGAATAGTAGACTAATACGGTAGAATAATATAAAAAAAGTAAATAAAACTATAATACTAATTCCTCTTATAACGTAGATAAGAGTAGCCGCTATAGGTAATAAGAACTCCGAAAGAAATAAGTCTCGGCCTAGCGAGTAGAATACTTATATCGAGAAGGAGTTAGGGCGTAAAAACTAGCCGATATAGATAGCTATATTATATAGGAAAAGCGAGCTCGTAGGGGAAACGTAACGAAGAATAGTTAACTAATAGATAAGATAAGAGGAGAGAGAGACTAATAATATCGTATCGTAGAAGGTAGTTAGCCGAAGGAGGATAAAGCTATTCTTACGCTTAGCTACCGCTAGGATATCGTAAGCGCGAGAGATAAAAAAAAGAGAGATAAAAAAAAGGAAAACTTAAAAAAAGAAAAGAAAGCGGAGAAGCGCTCCTAGGCCGAGCTAACCACGACGGGCGTAGCCGACCTAGCTAACCGCTAAGACGAGATTATAAGGGTATAAGGAGTAATTAAATTAAATCAAATTAATACTACCCCTTTAGAAGGAACGAAGTTACGTAAAGAAATTAGCTAAGAATTTTTCGCCGGCTCAACCAACTCTCATAAGGTTAACGGAAAGTCTCATGGAATTATTTCGTACGATTGGAAAGATAGGGAAGCTTCTAGTATATTACTTCAGTGTATATATACTCCTACATTCTAATGAAGTCGAAGAAGATCAATAATTAATATATACTTCTACTGCTGTAGTTGTTGGATGACGGAACAACGTTATTCCGTTGTCGAGAGGCATGCAGAGACTCATGGAATCACGGAGTAGCAAAACAGCGCCAAAACGCTGGTGATACCACTGAGGAGCGAGTGAAACAGGAGTTTCTCTAACTAATGCCGACTAGATCACTTTGTAAGAGGATTTATATAGGATTTAGAACAGCCTACATGAGGAGAGAGAATCAGAGACCTTGAACCGTCCATATGAGACTCACTTGCGGCCTGTTGTGAATTACGGCAGTGGAAGCATATATATATATGTTTTTTTTATTTTATATCTTTCTACTCTCTCAGAATGTAGAGAGTATAAATACAGTGAGAGTAATACTCTAGAAGCTTCCTAACAATTTCCAAGCACGCGGAATAATTCCATAAGGCTTTCATCAATAACATGATAGTTGGTTGAGCCTCATATCACAACACGGCCGACAGTAATTCACAACAAATTGGAGCTCTTGAATTTTAAACGCGATAATCTGGACAATATAACATAGAGGCGGCTAAAGATCCTGGGGTTGGTGATGAGCCAACAGCTGCGCTTCCACGAACGCTACGCACGAATGGCGTAGCGAGGGTTGAGGCCATCGTAGCACTAAAACGGCACCGAGCATTATATTCATGGCAACCGTGGCGCCCGCCGTCGACTTTACATCGTTTGTCTGGTCAACACCAAGCTAATATGAGGACAGAAAAGCCTGCTGAAACCCTTTCAACGTCTTGCCACCCAAGCAATCGTGAGAACATTCCGGGCGGTGGCATATACGTATTGCAGATAGGCTGAAGCAGGCATCGAACCACTATACAGGTGATGGCAACGACAAGCACACCGTACGTGGACTCGGTGGCATACCCTACCGCGTAAATTTGGAAAAGCCAGCGGCGCATCGACATGCAGAACCCCATTCTTGTATCGCCTCTGCGGTTACACGCACAGCACCACCTGTTCACGACCTTCTCACGAATCGAAACGATTAAACCCTACAGTCCCATGCCATTGGTCGACCGAGTAGAGGTTTATATTGTGGAAGATCGTGAGCAGTCCATCAAACAGGTGCAGAACGGTCAATTCATAATCCGGTGTATCTCGATTTAGTCCATTTTCTGCGGAATAGTACAACGTACGTTCGAAATTCCATTGGGTCCCTGGCACGCGTGAATCAACCTTAACGAAATAGCGAACATATGCACAACATGTGACCAAAAAGAACAGCACATCGCGGCAACCACGCCATCCTCGATTCCTGGCAGCAGTACGTTGTCTCACCAACCGACTGGGGTACAAAACCGAGAAAGACTCGTTCCGGCAACACATCGACCAAGCTATAAGCGTTGAACGCGAGCATTGTATGACCGCCTCAGCCAAAAAGACGCCAGATTACTGGTACAACTCCGGACTGGCAAATGTCGCTTAAACCACTACCTCTGTCTCATCAATGCGGTCGAATCTGAGACGTGTCAGCCTGATTGTTGTAGCGCTAATTTTGCGTATTTTGATTTTCTCTGGTAACGTCAAATACCACGATGAATATCTAGAACATCTTGGCAGGAGATGCTATATCCATTAAAACCATGAATCACTGCCCTGATCACGCCAATCAGCCCTGCTTCGGAGGTTGGCTTCGCACTTTGCCCCTGAGTACCCCAGCTCGTTCTTAATCCCAGCCTATCATGGCTCTCCCCGCTGAGGCCTTTTCGCGTATTTCATCATCCCCATATCCTGCGATGACTTTTCGACATACAATTGGAAGCCTGACGCGGATAACGTCCTGTGGCGCCGCGAAATTGGCCCGCAAGAGCATCATACTGATGACGTCACGGAACAAACATCGAAAGGGGCATCAATTCTTTGTGGTCCAAAATCCGCCGAATTAACAAAGGATTATTTCTAAAAGGAGATTATAACGCCATAGGTATCAACAAGCATAATATATGAATTTATCGGTGAGAGCCGAGCCAAAGTCAATGCTCGCTTTCCCCTCTTCTAGTTATTACTTATTAGTAACAGCTCAGTACGAACCGATGTAGCAGGGGGACTGGCACGGCAGTATCCGCTCGCGGGACCTAATAAAGTACTTTGTCCTCACAAGTTTTGACATGGCACACTAATTTTATATAGGTCGTCGGAAGAGCAACACCTTGAATGTTCTGGAAAGGGCGTCCAAATCACCTATTGCCCAATTGGATGTAAGCTAGGGAAGTGATATGGATTAACGTCTTGAAATTTAACTTAGTTTGGGGGCTCTAACATCAAGGCGCTGCAAATATCAGGACACCGCTATCTCTGTTTTGTCTTGCACATTTTCTAGAGCTCGGTTCATTTTCCTTTTTGTTGCTGACTTGAGCTGTCTGAACTGACCTTCTATCCTTCTCCATGTTATTACTTTCGTAGCGAGGAACAAGCGTGAGTTGATTGGATGGCAATAGCATTCTCTGACTCTTATTCATAAGATAGCAGAGCCGCGCTACCTTTTCCAACTTGAATATCGACATAGATTCAGGACAGGAATACATTTATCGTTCCAAAGGCCAATAATGGTATCAAGCCGATGCCGGTAAGCAAGCCTTTAGCAGGACCAAGGCTACCTGGGGCAGCGTTTGTTGCAGCAGCAGCGGCGCGGGTCGTAGAACTAGCGCCCATAGTCACGCTCGAGCTAGCTGCGGGTGTAGTTCCACTTGAAAGGGCCGCAGAGGCCGTGGCTAACATTGTCGTCGAAGAGTCCATGGTGGCAGCGGTTGACATGACCATCGAAGAGTCCATGGACATTTGTGTGAGGCCACCACTGGCAAAGAGGAACGCTGGAATAATGACCGCCTTGAATAACATGGTGGATGATCTTTGTTTTATGATGGGTTTCCGGTTCTGACTCTGAAAACGACAAGAATGGACGAGTAGAGCTGTGAATTTAGATGGCTTGAATGGGAAGAAGATCGGTAATTCTAAGAGATGAGGCACACATTGAATATTTAAATAGCTTTGACATGCCTCTGGACCCATCCCCTTACGCAACTCTGGATGCAGCCTCAAGATCCTTAGGCATGAGTACCCGCTTTTCCAGAGGCTCAAATTAGGGCATACGACAGATTCCACCATCAGTCGAATGGCTCTAGCCCCTTGAAACTTCTAGGGTTTTTGCCTCTGCATTTTGGGCCAACGAAAGTCCCAGTCTTGCTCCAGGACAACTGAGATCATTCCATAGCACCCTAACAGATTGCTACCTAGGATCTTACCTCTACGACGGACTCCGAAATGTTCGGGTCCAACGCAACAACGCCCCGCTCCTATACCGAACCCAAAAGTTTTGCTCCCAAGATGCCAGTACTGCTCAACCCACCAAAGGATGACCCTATCTCATTTGACGAGCTTAGTAAGTGCGACGGTATGTCAAGAGATGAATACACATAAATCTGTACGCCCGTCGGAGCCACTGATATTTGATATGTTCCAGGAACGGACCCGTCCAAGCCGGTGCTCATCACAATCAAGGGCACCGTCTTCGATGTTTCACGACATAGTACATATCAACCAGGAGGATGTTATCACGGTACGATGACCACTCTCGACTTGTCCGTTGCTTTGGAACTGCGCGCAGTCGAATGAAATCCACATCCGCAGCAGCATCGATACCCCATTGATACGGTAAGCATATCCGACAATGAGGAAGAGAGGCTAACATGCGTTTTGTTCAGTCGTCGCCGGCAAAGATCCATCTCGAGCCCTCGCTATATCCAGCTTGAAGCCTGAGGATTGCGTACCGGACTGGTATGATCTGGAAGACATGTACAAGACCGTCCTGAGCGAGTGGTATACATTCCTTAGCAAGAGATATAATATTGTCGGCAAAGTACGTTTATCTTTATCAGGCCGTCCAAAATCAGCATCCCAGCTATATTTGCATTACCGATATAGCTCGAAGCTGGGAACCACTTGCTCTATCTCTTTTTGAAAATTAGCCATTGCACACCTGAAGCACACGTGAGCTACATATGAAAGCTAAGAATAAATACTGATTTTCCGTACCTCACAGGTCCAACAATCTAGGATCACAATGGATATAGCCGGCGACATATTGATATTCAAATAGCGAACTATGAGTACTTCTGGAATTCTGTTGGGGTGGCATTGCAATATTGTGTTCTCAAGTTTTTGAGATCGAGCCACGACTTGCTTAGACTTTTCCTTCCATTGCAATCATCTTTGCCTCTTCTGTGCACAATAACGTACTTCTACATAGCCATTTTAGTTCTTCTCTTGAAGCACGGGTGCGGACTTGGTCCACCTCATCCTTGCCCTTGATTATTGTTGAAGACACAACACTAACAGAACCATACGGGAGCGCCTTGTCACAACAAACGTGATCGGAATTTATGGCGATCGAGGTGTATAGGACATCCCCTCTGAAAGAAAGGGGGAAAACAAAGGAATGAAAATAACACTGACCACTTTAAGATATGTGACAAAGAGCGAGGGGTAATGGAAAGCTCACAGAAAGGAAGGCTCTTTGTCTAAATGCGAGGCGCAACCTCGAAATACCCAGAATTTAACTGCTTAGAGAGAGATACAATATTCATTAGCTTCCAACAGAGCCTCTACCCTACTAGTGACCATTAACTTGCATTTCCCCCTTCCTCATCCCTCGGATATCAGTATTTATGATCAATGCTGTGCCTTGGACGGCTCAATCAGACCAGAAGTTCCTCCACCCCGTAATACTAGAATGCTAGTAATGATCGAGTGTCCTGTTGTAGTTGTATTTGCAGATAATGGGGATATTGAATGATTAAGGATCCCTTTTCAACAGGTCTTTCTCAGTTGCTGCCCTGAAACCCAATAGTGGCAACCGCGTCCTCAGCAGTAGACTGCTGAGGACGACACTAATGCTGCTCAGAGCCATGGCCAAAGCTGCCCAAACAGGATCAAGCCGGATGTGGCTACCACCGCTCTGAATTGGATACAAGACTCCTGCAGCTATGGGCAGTGCTACCATGTTGTAGAGCACCGCCCAGAAAAAGTTGAATTTGATTCTCTTGAATACTATCCGGCTGAGATCGATGAGCACAAGTAATGAAACTAGATTTGAGGAGACGAGGACGAAGTCGGCAGCCGAGATAGCCACTTCAGAGCCGGACCCAATGGCGATGCCGACATCTGCCATGGTAAGCGCAGGAGAATCATTGATTCCGTCCCCGATCATAGCAACCACAGCATGTAAGTGCGCCTCATTCTGACGGGCTTTGCGGGATGTAACCTTGGCCCCAGCCTTCTGAAGGTATTGAATTTTCTCCGCTTTCTGTTCTGGAAGGACACCCGCAATAACATTACTCTCGTCAATCCCAGCTTTGCTGGCGACTGCTCGGGCGGTTTTCTCGTTGTCTCCCGAAAGCATCCAGACGTCTATTCCCCGATTGCGTAGCGCATGGACAACAGCAATGGATTCTGGTCGTAGGGGGTCCGAGGTGGCGGCAATAGCTGACAAAGAGAAAGGACTCGGTTGTTTATCGCCGTCGGATGCGTCAGCGGTGGCTACCAACATGACTGATTTACCTTGTATTTTCCAGGAATCAAGTTTCGCTTGACGATCAGCAGCTAGAACGAGGTTATTTTCCGACATTAAGGCTTCATTACCGACCAATGCTCTGATTTTGCGCTGAGGCTGTGACCGAGCAAAAAGAAATCCCTGCATGCCTTTGCCGCCAACCTCCTCCACTTTTTCAGCTTCAAAATTCGTAAATTTTCGCGACGCTGAAAAGGCGACGACGGCCTTGGCCAGTGGATGACTGCTGTCATCCTCGAGCCGCTTGAGGACACCTAAGATGTCCGCCTCGTCGAGATGGCCTTCGTTATCCGCGAAGAACTCGAAATCCGTGATCTTGGGCTCCCCGCCTTCTGTCAAAGTGCCAGTTTTGTCAAAGACAACACAGTCCAATGCACTGGCTTCTTGAAATGCCTCTCCTCCCCCTTTGACGAGGATCCCCAGCTTCGCTGCCAGGCCCCCTCCAACAAATAGAGCCGTCGGCGCAGCCAACCCAAGACCACAAGGACAAGCGATCACGAACACGGCAATGGCAAACTGAAGCGACCAAAAAGGCCAGCCCCCAACGTCGGTATCTCGATAGCTGGAAGGTAGGACTCCTGATACGCCGAGAGAAAGCCAGATAACCCACGTTGCAACTACCAGCAGGACCACAAATGGAACAAAATAGCCCGTCAGAAGATCCGCAATCCTTTCGACTGGAGCACGCTTAGTTTGCCCTTCACGAACTACTTGTATAATTGAATCGAGCATTGACTTTCCAACAACCCCAGTTGCTCGAGTAGTAACGGGAGCGACCTTGTTAATGGTACCGGAGTACACATTATCTCCCACTCCTTTACTGACTGGCATGGACTCCCCCGTCAGGCTCGATTCGTCAAACTTCGACTCTCCTTCCAGAACGACTCCATCACAGGGAGGAGAGCTGCCATTTACGACTCTGACGACATCGCCTGCTTCAATTAGATCCACGTGGACCGCTGATGTTGAGGGATGCCCAGTCGCGCTGTCTACTGAAACCAGAAGAGCTTCAGTTGACTGCAGTTTAGCAAGGGCGCCCACTGCGTCGCCCGCCTGGGCCTTCATATATGCTTCAATATATCTGCCTATGAGGAGAAACATGGTCAAGAAGACCACTGAGTCGAAGTACGACGGGGCTGGCCCATTCCCTTGCATGGACCGGCGCCGCGTGGCTGCGACGATGGCTTCTGCAATGGACGCAAAGTAGGCGATGGATGTCCCAAATGAGATGAGCATATTCATGCTGCCGAAACGGTAGAATCTCCTGAGAAGAGGCACTTGACTTCCCGGCCTCCATAGCGCGCGTAGTTCCTTGTATGTGCGCCGATGAAAAAGATCCGCAGCAAAGAAGTAAACGGGCGTGGCCAGAATGAAATTCGCCCACTCCGCCCGTGTAACACCAGCAAGCTCTTGCATGAGATATTTATATCCGGGATCGTCGCTTTTAACGAGGTTCATGTAGACTATGCCAATGATAAAGGCTGGGATGGCCACAACCACAGACAGAATGACCCGATTGCGAATATGGAGTTGTTCACGTGCCATCATCTTTCGGGCTCTCTCTTCCAGGGTCAAGGGATGGTGGATCGTGACGCTGAAGGAGGCATCAATATCTGTAATTGCAGCTAACAATGTCCTAACGGTGAATTGAGGAGGGTTGGGAATGTATGTCACCGTCAAGATAGGGTCTTGCAACGTAGGTAAGGTCTCGATCGCCACCGAACCCATATCTTTCATCGAATGTACAATGCGACCAGGACACTGGTCACAATGCATCCCGTCAATTCGGATCGAAACTGTGCGCTCTGGGCGTGTTTCGTGCGAGGACTCGACCGTAGATAGTGTGTCGAGTTGGGCACCATAGCCAATATCTTGGATGGCTTTAGCAATGTCTTCGACGTGATCCTTGCCCGTGAAGTGAACGGAGGCGTTGTGATTGATTAGGCTTACGTCTGCTCTGGAGACGTAATCTAGTTCCTGGATAGCCCTTGTAATGTTCCCAACGCACGAGCTGCAGGTCATGCCGTCAACCATGTATGTAGCGTGGTACAAATTGGCGGTGGCGCCTTTAATTGAGGGTGGTGCTGTCACGAATTCTTGAGCCCAATCGAGAGACGCAGTATAACCAACAGCATCGATCGCATCTGCAATTTCTTTAACACGATGTTGTGCATCATTTGCATCATACACCACCATAGCGCTGTGAGTGATAAGGCTAACATCGGCAGATCGAACCCAAACAAGTTCCTTTAGTGCTCTGCTGATGGTACCGACACATGAGCTACAGGTCATGCCTTCGACCATGAAATTGGCTTTGAATCGCTTGGGTGTGCTTGTGAGATGGTCCACGACAAGCTCAAGAGTCTGAGCCTCTGTGGAGTCCTTGGAAAGTGTTTGACAGTGCTGACAGGTTTCGAGGTGACGGCGCCTCTTGTTCACTTCGACCTCACTCGCATGAGAACGCCATCGGGAAAGGGCTTGTTCGAACGAAGGCGGTTCAAGGCCCTGTTGCAAGTTAAGTGGCAGATCAGGTGGTGGCGAGTCTAGGTCAGGGACCACGTCGAAGATTTCATAACCTGCATCATCGAGGGCTTGAGCTATCGTGGCGAGAGAAAGCGAGCGTGAATGCCTGACTGTGACTGTGTGCGAGACAATGGACACCTGCACAGAATCTGGCGCGGGTCGCAGACTCGACAAAGTTGATTCGATCTTCGAGACACAGGTCGGGCAGTGAAGGTTGGGGATAAGAAAAGTGGTCTGCGTTAGCTGACCACCCAATGAGTTTCGACGAAGAAAATTCTTCATCCTTCTGTCGTGCTATGATGCTTGCAGGTCTGGAAGAAGAAGTCAAGCACTGTGTGCTTGGCGAGTTGATATGGCAGCTACATTCAAGCCAGGCGTGACTCGAGATTAAGTAGGCCGATAGACGATGACAGGGCCTTACTCAACAAGAAGGGACCTGCCCATGCGCACTTTTCGCGTAAAATTGACACATGCCCCCCATTGGGACTGGATGTCAATGCAGTGGTACCAGCCGATTACCAATGCCAATGGACACTGGAATCGTATGTCATCCATCCAGGCGCCTACAGGCCCCCTTGAATGGACAAGTCCATAGTTCATTGATTGCGTGGTTTGTGCTCGTGTAGAGAGGTGCAAAAATCTGGTCCGTTTTATCTCGTACCGAGTACAGTAGTGCAAGACCAAAAGTAGGCAACTAAGCCATACGCCCGACTCCCTCCCCTCCCCCCCCTCCTCCCCCCACAGCGCACAAATCCCGCATCCCTTACCAGGGAACTGGGGTGTGGGGCTAGCCAAGCTTTGGGTCACGTTTTACTTCCAAGTGAGCCCCTTTCTCCACCCAAAAAATACCCTAACCCTTGTCTCCGCCCTTTCGGCTCCGCGTGAAGGCGAGAGTACCAAAGAGGAGTTATTTCCTATGTGGCGAAACAAGCGGATATATTATTGCTTCGTTCGATCGGCTAGCTTCGTCTGGTCTTTCAGCCAAGTGAGAAATTCCAAAAAGAGAAGAATCCTGAAAACAACAAAGCATTGCATTGCATTGCATAACTAGACCAAGCTTATGATTCAAGTTCCTCAATGATCGAGCCCAAGGCTCAAAGTATCTATACAGTATTTCCTCGTTCCATAGAAACTTCTCTCCTTTGAAGGCTGCTTTTAAGCATCAAAACTTTCCATCACAAAAGCCGGAAGATGATGTGGATATGAATTGGATGGGTAAAGACCGAGGCTGCACTAATGTGACCAGCACTTTAAAATGCGAAATTTGGTTTGATTTAGTTTGAACGAGTGACCTAGAGGCGGAGTGCAAGGTATCCCCCAAAGCATGCCCTAAGCGTTGACTTTTCGGTAAGCCCAAATGGACAAAAGCTCTCCCAAGAACATTCCCAGGAGCAGCGCCATCATGTACCCGGCGTTGAGGGTCATCACTCCAAGCATGCTGTCATGCGAAATTTTGTTAGCATTGAGGCCTTGAAATGGATATTCGAGTTCACCTACACGAGAAAGCCGAGGGAAGCGTTCAACACCTGCAGCACACTTTTAATAAGTGCCCGTGAAATGAACGATGACCCCGGACCCCCACTCGACTCCGGGTTGACCGTTTCAGACCAAATCCCGGTCTTTGCTGGGTTCTCTTCGACATCCGCAGTCGTCTGAGGTTGCTGGTGCAACTTTTTGGCGGCCTTGGCCTCAACGGCCATCAGAAGCCGTTGGGAGAAACTCAGCATCACCAGGAACAACATGACTGCAACATATCCGGAAACCTGTGTTGGCGTGAAAAAGGGCGCGAAGAAGGTGTCCCCAATACCAAAGTGAATGGATGATTGCATTCCCTGCATTGCCGGCATTGCCGGCAATGCCAAAGGGCTCGAACTTTCCTCGTTGTGCGGCGCAGCTTCGGTCTGCACGGCTGCGGGAATGATAGAAGTGCCACTAGCAGCCGCTTCCAGAGCGGTAGCCAAAGCGGTAGCCACCTGCGTAGCAGTTGTCATGGGCATGCTCATTCCCTCCATTCTTTAGTAACACGATGTCAAAAACAAGTCAATGCAACCGGACAAATGAGAAGGGATCCTCCAGGGATAGGACTAACAAAAAGGTGTAGACGAATTGAAAAACGCGAAAAGACTGTAGAAGCTAGAAGAATGTGCTGGCTGGTTCGACGTTGAGGTTTATAAAGGGGGAGGTTGCAATCGATGGGCGTTGCTCGGGCAGGAGTGGCCCTCGCTTGGCGGGCTAGAATTGTTTGACATTCACCTCTTTCTGAGACGAACTTCACATGCAAACTCCTTAGTGGTGCCAAGGTTTCCTCCAGGTTAGGCGACTCTGACAACCCCCGGGGACACTCTACGAGTAATATTATATCTTGACTTATTATTAAGTAAATAGAGTGTAAAATTATAAGGAAAAGTAATACTTATGTGATACGATAAGTAAACTTAGTGAGCAAAGATAAATTCACCTGAGGGTGTCATTAGTTTATTGCTAACGGGGACTCGTCAACGAGTAAGACAAGTGTCCTGGCAATCGACAGATTCCCCTAACCTGGATGAAACCTCGGCGCCGCTTATATACACAATTACTGGTAGAGCTTGAGGCCACTAACTTTTATGTGGACCCAAGTCAACTGTATTCTGTGCCAGAGCTAGTTACGGGCCGATGCTTTACATCTCTGGGGTTATATCCGTTCGTATTACTTGATATATTGCTACTAGAGTGAGGGGGATCGTTGAACATCATCAATACCAGCTTGACAAATACATTAGCGTATGGACAGGTACACCCAAATGGGGCCTCCACATGACGCTTGATTCGACAAAGGCAAAGGGGTTTAGTCCCTTATCAATCTCCGTAACGGCGCCCGAATAGATCAGTGTGCACTTTTGCTCTCCTAAACTTCCAATAGACAAGACTAGCCAACTAGTCAAAGGTAAAGGTAGACGCTTCGAGGAGGCTGAAACGACCGCGTTGGCAAGCGGACTAAGACAGGTGCTGGTCCTCGTACTCCGACTAGCGGTGCAACGTCATCCTTGTGCTCCTCAGTCTTAGTTTTCGTTATTGGACATTGAAATACGTGCGCGAGTGATTTGTGCCTGTCGGTCACTCATGGGCTTTCCCAAACAGTTCGATATGCTTTCGTCCTAGTCTTCGAAATACGCGCCCTGAGGGATTTGCGCGTTCGGCTACTCATATGCAGAGTACGAGGCAGATCGACATCCCCAGGTCGCTAACCCTTGAAAATTACCTGAAGAATTGGTAACTCGTATTTACTCGTGAACAGCTTCACTGACATGTTAGCTTCCGTTCAATTCTCTTAACCTTTGGGGTAGCCGTGTCAAAGGTTTCATCATAGTTGGGCGACTTCGTCAACCCCCAGGACACTGGCCTACAGCTATACGATGGTTGAGCGAAACCTCACTCTTTACTACGCGAAATTCGCTCGGGATCGTGAGTCAAAATGCGTTCTTATTGCGCGATTCCGCTACTCTGGAATGCTTTAAAGTGCGGTCATGCTGTCCCATTACTGAAACCACCAATTGTTCGATATCAGCACCGAATACCTCAAATACCAGCACCGAATACTTCAAATATCAACACCGAATACTTCAAAACCTCTGGAGCAAAATGACCAACACATACAGCTACAATGTCTCAATGTCCTGTGGAGGTCGGTGTAAAGCTGTTATTTGCCAACGTTTATAGACTTACGAAAGTCTAGGCTGTGCTTCCTCCATCAAAAAGACCCTTAATGGTATACCCGGGGTGAAGCAGGTAGATACCTCTGTTGAACAGCAATCTGTCACTGTGGTTACGGATGATAACGTGGCCTTCGATGCAATCTCGCGAGCAATCCAGTCGACAGGAAAGGAACTGAAAGGTGGAGAGGTCATAGCAACTGGAGAAGCGAGCAATGGGGACTAAGACGGCTAGTAGGAGGTACAAAGACTAAGCACCATGGTGACGAGAGTTGAGCAAATTGGCGTTCTGGCCACTTGCCCTCCACTCATAACGTTTACCACCATTGATGAACGACGGATCAGGTATCCTTTTGGTGCATTAGCAACAAACTTAAACGAGCTCGTTCTACTGGTTTGCAAGGTATTCCTATAAACGGCTTGCATCTAGTTCAAACTAAGTCAGTTGTCCCTCTTCATCAACATTCCAATAATTTCACAGCCTTTGCAACCGATCGGAATCTCTTACCATCACAAGATAGTAGTTCTCCTGGCATATATCACCATCTAGCATGGGGGCCGTGATCACAAAGTTAACAGGTTGAGCTTGAGGGAACCCATAACTATGCTGACTTCGGACATGCATTTGAGAGAGCCGTCAGAAACAAGAGCATCAGAGACATGTATTTCACGGAGTCTAGTATTATGACAGCTTCTAGCTGGAAGGACTACCGTTATAGACTTGCTAAGGCAGAGAGTGGGCTGTTTTACTATCATACAGTCACAGTTATTCAGTTCCTCGTAAGTGATATGATCGTCTTTAGGATCATTAAGCTGCGCCGGCGCCCTTAGTGAGGAACTGCTAAGGTCCTCGTAGTAACCGCGTGGTTTGGTGAGATTAGGCGATGACATTGAGTCGGGTCTCTTTAGAGTCAAGTCCTGCTTGAGGAGGAGGGATCTCTGTCAAGGAGGACGGTATACTGTACAAGAAGGGGAAGGTCAAACACGTAGGAAATCTGAACGCTGTACCTGAGGCCGGGGACCGACTTCTAGACTCGCCCAAGAAGGATTTGTCTACCTAAGGAGATTTCCTAGAGAATTAGATGATAGGCCCGATTAGCCTGCTTCGCCTCTTTACGCACAAATGTCGCAGCTGCTACGCAATCCCAATCGAGGTTTGATGGGCTTGGCTATGCTAAAGAAAATTGCGGTCTTAGACGTTGGCCACGCGTTCCTCCATGCCCATGACGATATTTTTAGTCAGATCAAATGGCTCGGTTGTTTCTGGTCCCAGGAAACGCACAATTCCCGCAGCCGTGTAATAGACACAGGTAGCCGAACTGACTTCTGACAGTGGCGGGTCTTTCGCGGCACCAATTGCTGGGAAGCACAAGTCTAACCACATGCATTTAGCTTATGCCAAGCCTTCCGCAGGAATGAATGTATTGAGGACTCTGTCTTTTCTATCTGATGTTGGCTGTTCAAGCATATATATAAATTTGCTAGTAATTCGATCTGTTTCCTTGAAATTCCCATGACTCAGAGATGCTTATTCTCTGGCGCCATCTAGGCGGCAAGCAGGCACCAGAGTAGGCACCAGAATAGGTAAATCAATAGTAGGAATAGGCGTCAGGGGTCTTTCCTTGTCAACATTAGGTGATGGTAATAATCCCTCTGGATGGCACGCAATATATATCCGTTCATGTCGATCGAGAGAGACCATCCGGTTGTCGCCTTTACAACACAATGAAGAGTAAGTGAAACGAGAATAGAAAGATGAGATACTGACGAGGACAATCAGCAGATATGGTGCTGGCCATAGAGGTCCCCTCCGCCTGCGAATCATTCGTGCCAGGATTGTTGGGCGCATTTTGGATGGATCCTACCATATCCAGCATTCGTTGCTCATCCTCTACAAGCACCACAGCCATGCCGCTCTGTTGATCAATTCAGGAGAGTTTCTACCTGTCGGTGAATTTTGGCTTACCACAAGATGCCATTGTATATGGCAATGAAACAACCACGCTCCTGGATTGTCAGTGACGTACCTAAGAAAGTTAGTAAATTGAGTTATCCGCCCTATAGTCTCTCTACACACCTGATAACCGCCCAACCTGAAGCCGGCAAGTCGATTGTATCGCGATACGGCGGATTCTGGAGATTGATCATCGTCGAAGGTGCGTCAGTAACAGACTGGAATGGAAAATCGCCCTCGCCTGCCCCAAGGAACCAAAATTTGTGGCCGTGTAGGTGCATCGGATGGCCCATCTATATATAATATCTCGTGAGCCGGAGATCGCTATGTTATTGAATTGAACAGAATGGCGAACTTACCGTGTCCATCGAATCATTCGCGACCTTCATAACAATATCAACGGTAGCGTTGGCGGGGGTAAGAATTGTGGTGGCTGCACTCCAGCCGTCAGAGACAGTGCCATAGATAATTGGTCGAGCAGGCTCTGCGAATGGTTCCCCATTCGCCACCCAAGTCACTATGTCTGTTTGGTTGATTGTAAAATATCGAGTAACGTTGGCTACCCCGGATGGTGCCGTGTTGCCCACGAAGGGAGCAAGGGCCTGGTCGTCAAGTTCGACAGTACCCAATGTGGCGGACCCGTTGACGAGCATCCACGGCGAGACAAGGTCACTCATCATAGTCATGTCCGTATTATTGGCTATATTCTGGAGGAATTAGTCATATCATAATGCCCTGGGTCATTGTCTCACATGGTATGACAAAATGGCTTGGCCTTCGATGACTTGCTGCATGTCGCCATAGGGATAGGATGCAAATCTTAGATAATAGTCTCTGGGGTTTTGGTCAAGCCGTACCATCACTGAATAGCGCTGGCCAATGGAGATGTGCAGAACCTACCAGAAGGTTAACATGGATCGCCGGTACCACTTGCCGTCGACAGACCTGAACCTCTTGAAGAGCCACATACAGTCCATCCGCTGCATAGACGAACATGGAATGACCGTCCAACGAGACACTGAGTCTGCTGACAGCTCCGGCGTTGAGCAGATGTAGAGCAGTCCAGCCACGAGATGCGTCCGCGGTAAACGTGAAGAGTTCCGATGTAGTATTCGTACAAGTTTCGGGTGGAAGCGAACTCGCGTCAAGGCCGGGCCTAAACATTATTGGTGGACTGCAACCGCGTGGCCCTAAAGCCATTTGCGGTATATCTGACATGGTACTAATGGTAAAGTCCTCTGTGCCCGCCGGCGTCGTAGATGACCCAGTCGTCATCATAGACATCATTGTCGAAGACATGGCACTCATATCGGATATGGCAGTGCCGGTTGACGGGCTTGCAGTGTGATCTGACCTTTTTCGCATGCTCATGGACATGGCATTTGTTGTCATCGAAGGCATCGAAGCTGTATCCATCGAGATTGAAGCCGTGTTGATTCCGCTGGTCATTGATGGCTCCATTGCCATCGGCATAGTGTCAGGGTCATGAGGATCGTTGGCGATGCTAGATTCTTCAAGGCCCAGTCCTGGTCCGGCTTGAAGTATGCTTTGGGGTATACATTGGACTCTTCCCTTTCCGTTCGCTAAAAGACTGTCGACGCACTGAGGAAACGCACCAGTCGTGAAATATTCATCATATATCTTATCAGAGAGCTTATGATACCAATCAGCTAGCAGGAGAGAGGTTCCGCTGCGCTCAGCCTGTAACATCATATCAAACTCCGAACTGCTCTGAGCAAGATTTTCGAATGGACGCGGCCGGGATGGGGACGGATGTATTAAGAGCGGCCCGCGTAAGGCGTCATCGTAATAGGCTCGAAAGTGAGAATGGTACCAGTAAAATCCGTACTCACCGGCCGTGGAGAACTGATAGGTGAAATTACCTGCTGGCGGGATTGGAAACTAGGCACGCGTAAGCATGGCACAAGGAGATAAGTCTCCAACCAACCTGGGTCACGCCAGGAACACCATCCATATTTGGTGTCCCGCGCTGGAGAAGACCTAGCGTGATCATGTCAGTCTTTTGCTGAACCGCGTAGACCGCAAGCCAGCCTTCCAATGGGATTCTATACAGCGGCCTACCATGCCAATGAATTGTTGTCTCGACAGGTAAATCGTTCTGGACAAATATTTCAAGATCGTCTCCTTCGTCAGCTTCAATCAAGGGGCCCGGCTGTTGATCGTTGATGAGGTACACTTCGCGCGCAACTCCATCTGGCTAAATGTCAGACAATACGTGAAATATCATCCTTTCAGGCTCACCAGGGCTTCGAATGCCTGTATTCAGAATCAGTTTGTAAGAACGAGTGGCGCCCAGAGCAGTTTGCACTGCCGAGCAGGCAAGCAACACAATTAAATGCGGATATGATGGCATGTCGGAAGGAAAAAGTGAGGGTAAAAGGATCAAGGAACTAACTAGTGGAAAAATGAACGTTGTAAGTCGGGGGAGGAGGGCAAGATAGGCAAAGCATAATCCCGTGGATGTTGTCCGATAAAAATGAGGCTCGTAGGCTTTCGATTGCAGTCATAGCCCGTATAACATTTGCGGCGTCATTTCTGCGTATTTGCTCGGCAGCGACAAGGTCCAGTGGTGACAATCAACTAGACGGGACGCCACCGCGGACTTGCAGCATTCCACCTTGATTGCCCTCCTGAAATGTGTGGAGAATGGACCCACTAGCTGACCAACCAACAAATTGTTTGTCAGATGGAACAAAGAACTTTTGACGTTCGAATGAGCGGAGCAGGGGCCCGGCTTTTCTTGGCGAGTTCGCTATTGGTTCGCTGGTAAAATAAGCCAATTATTCCTCCCTGCCGTTGAGGCCTTTTCGCGCATTCTTTATTCCACTATCTTTGGCTTTAACGAACTTTCCGCCTGTAGGTTGGAGCTTGTCATGGGTAACACCTTGTCAAATAGGGCGAGGCCGCGATTGAATCGCCAGCTCCGATCAAAGACGCTTAGAAACTGACATCGAACAGGACTGAATGTACTCCCGTTATTTGCAGTTCTCCACCGACCGATTTCACAAAGAGTTACTGGTATTTAACACTGCAAGGCCATAATTATCAGAAATAAGCATGACACTCGAATTGCTCGGTGAAAGTAAAGCCGAATTAATGGTAAGAGCACTTCGGCGCACAGTAGGACGTTTCCTGTTGCTGATTCGGCCCAGGCTGTTGCCAATATTTTGCTTCTAATTGCCGCCTTGTTCGTCCTGAGCCTTCAGCATTGTGTCTACGGACAGCTACCTTGCGATGAGGTCGAGGATATCTTCGAAAAGTACATCATCAAAACCACGGAAACATTAATGGCCTCGTATATGGTCGGAGAAAGGCTGGATATTTACTACATATTGAATTTTGTTACTCTGTCATCAGCAAGAGTCTGGGCCTGGATGACAGTGGGTAGAGTGACATTTGTCGAACAGCAACCGCTTATGGCCTGGAAGTGGCGCGCTCAATTCTTCATTTCACTCCCGTTGACCGTTATGTTTGATATCATGATGTTTGTCCATGCAGCAAACACCATGCACAGTACAGCACGACGAAGTACGCCAATGTTCGCTTTCGAATTCGCAGATTTGGTCCTTCTCTCTTCATCAATTACAGTTCGTTACCTATTGTGCATCTCGAACCTTGGCTGCCTTTCCTATAAAACTGGAGCCGAAGTATTGGCCCTCCCGCCCCCGGACGGAGAAAAAGAAGCCTTAGTAGTCGAGTCCGAAGGAAGTAATGGAAGCGGGTCTTGGTTGTTCTACGCAGAATTATGGACAGGTAAGGACAAATTATGAGATATGGTCCCGAGCCATTCTTGGGTGCTCAGACGCAGTTTGGCTGTTGTTTTGTCATGCCCAGTTTCGACCATCCCATTACTTGAAATCCAACTGACGCCCAACACAGATGTTTCGAGATGCGCACTTTCTCTCCATTACGTCCTTACTTGGTCCATCTCCTACGTTTCCTGTGCGCATGTAATACGCGATGCGGCAATCACGGTCCACAAAATTACAAAAGATATTGATGGCCATCTCCACCGTCGACGTGTATCACGGTTGATTGACATTACATTTCGTAATGCTATCGAAGATCAGCTTTGTGTTGCGGGTATGTGTGCTATTTGCCGCATAGAATTCATCCGTCGTTCGCAGTCACTACAGAGGGACACTAATAATCCTAAAGTCCTCTCATGCGGACACGTTTTCCACCGACAATGCTTACTTCTTTGGTTCCAATCTCAAACCACCTGTCCACTTTGCCGGGCTGAGGCCGGCGTGCTGAAGGCGAAAGATTTGACAGCCGATTGGCGAGTTCTCTTATGACAATGTTGGGATACACGGAGTTACACGGTTGCGTAAGATATGACGCTCATCCTATTCAAGACCTCGTCGATGGGAGACTGCATATCTCAAATGGCTTGTGTTGACTGGGAAAGAATTCTTCAATGCCGAACTCAGGCTCAACAGCACAGCGATGGGTTCAGATAGCTTCTGAGGGTACTCTATTATTCAGGTTGGCCACAACTACTGTAACTTGCTTTGTTTAAAATATTCTAGATTATGGTCCAATCTGCAAGTCCAAGCTGTCCCTACCATCGCAAAACTGACGCCCCAAACTTAGAAAAAGTCAGTGCGAACTTAGACGTAGCCATCACCACCTAGATACAGATTCTCTCCAGCGCTTCGCTGGCAGACATATAAGAGACTAAATTTTGAACAGAGGACCCGACCTAGTATCCGGAAAAGTCATTGCTACGGAAATCGAAAAACTTGAAAGAAAACTGGGGACGACGCTGGACCTATAGTTGAACAGTTCAGCTCCATGGGGGCAATTTGCTGGAAACATCTAGGTATTTTGACAGTAGGGATTCAGGAAAGAAAATTAATCTTCTGTTACTCATTCGGGGGACCAAGCACCAACCATCATTGTGAGTGGTAGGCTGAAAGAAACATCCATGAAAATAATGACCACACTACCGCCTTATGCTACTATATTACGGAAGACGCTGTTACCTGCTGATTGTTGCCCTTACCCACGACGTAAATAGACTTGCATAACGGGCAATCATAATGCTGGTTTTTAAACCAACCGTCCAGGCAACTTTGATGGTAAACGTGCTTGCATTGCAATCTTCGGACCTCATCTTGGTTCTCTAAGGTGTCCAGGCAGATAGCACTAAGTGGGATCAGTGCATGGTACTCAAGCATAGATGTGACCTACCAAACTTCGGACGAGTCAAATTGGCCTGGTGTCGAAATTTCCTCTCTTCTGTACTTTCTGGAGTTTTGGTACCGCTGAGCTGGGACCGCGGACTCGAGGTCCTGTAGGCTCATTGTGTCCCTGGGCGTGCCTTCCCCAGCTTCAATATCTCTCGTAGAAGCGCGACTTCTTTTTCGATGGAATAGGGTACATCTGTAGATGCTTCAATATCATGGGAAACACTGAAACTTCCGCGCAGTTACTTACAGTATGATAGATAGCACTAGTACTACCACTATACCAACACCTACTATGGCCGGGATAGGCGATTGTGGTGCTGATGAATTGGTCTGCTGAGAGAAATAGTTGTTTGCTATGTTTTGGGTCATGATCAATATGATTCATACGTTCTGCCTCTTTCCATCTTCAAAAAGATGCTTCGACAATATTTCACAAACCACGTCATTTTATATACTAGAGCCCACACGCGAATGGGACGTGCAAGTTCAGTGGCCGTGCTGGTCACAAGCAGAGGCTTTAGCGACTTTACGCATCCCTCAGCCACATGCTTTCGCCTGCTTCCTTCGCCTAACCCGGGTGTTTCCTGCTGCCTCGATTTATTAGACCGAAGTGGCATGATGCGGGGGTTTCGCTTGCGCGCACAAGCTAAGCCCGCTAAGTTAGTGTTAGCCAAGCAGGATTTCATTAGATTGAAGTGGTCTGATCAATAAATAAGCTTAATTTAACATCTATTCTATCGGTCCGGCTCCAGGGCTGCAGCCGGAAGCCATGGTCGATTAGGCCAGGTGGACAGGCACGCCACTCAACTCATAACAGGTGCAGCAGCATTGCTGTCCTTGGATAGAAGACGGCGCGGGGAAGCAGAACCACCCCTTTGAGCATTCGTCAAAGAGTGTCAAGATGTATGTGAGGAAGGGCAGTGAATAGTCAAGTTCCAACTGAAATAAAAATGCCTTGCGGAAACTTTCCCCCGACGCTGTCGGACGAAATGCCATGACTAAAACATGTGATTCCTCATTTAATAACTATCAATAGGTTGGTGAAGCTACGACACAGAATACGTTCGTAACACGAAAGTTGTAGACGAGCCTGTAGAAAGATACGGGCCAACCAGCTTGTTATTTATGAGAAAGGTGATCTAGCTCCTAGAAGCTCTTAACTAAATCGGGGTAAGAGCCCATCAATTGGGGTGATATTGCTGTGAATTACGGCAGTGGGAGCATATATTGATTCTTGTTGTTCCCCTACTTCCTCAGAATGTAGGAGCATATATACACTGAAGTAACATACTAGAAGCTTCCTTGTAATTTCCAAGTATGCGGAATGATTCCGTAAGGCTATATGAATGTTACAGTAGTTAGTTGAGCCTCATATCACAACAGATATCAAAAAATGGCACTTCACATTGATGACAAGTCTTCGGAGGACTAATGGGACAGGAGGACAGTTCATATCATCGCAGATTTGCAAGGAAAGCTCATGAAATATGGAAGGGAAACTCTTACTGCTCACGAGTGGTCCGGCTATTTCTAGCCTCGTAGGTTTCGATCAGTTCTTCAAGAGTAGCATCCAAATGTAAATCGATTTTAAGCTTCAGTTGGGGCCGTAGTTACAGTCTGGACAACCACTTTCTATGACGCAACACAGATCGTTACTGTCGTTCCAGCGGCCTGCGCAACAAGCAGCACCACGGCACGGGTGGTAAATCTCAATTTGAGGGTAAACCCTCTATTGTGGTCAGATACAGTCCTTGAGCCTGAATCTGTTCGATCTTCTGCTTCTTTGTCTTCTGTACGAAATTATAGTGTTCTTGTTAGTAATCTGACGAGTTCAAGAGCGACGTCTCCACGAACACCGCCTGCTACATGTTCACCCCTATGGCAAATACACCGATAGCTCCAGTCCCCCACTGTAGGGTAATGTAAGGCTCCTGAATCCGTTCTCTGGATTGCGTATATACTCCAGAAAGTCCCTGTACAAGAGCTTTGCTATTCCCACATTGTCCGTGATGACAACAGCCCCATACTTGAGCCTTGGTTGGACAAGCTTGAGGGTAGGAAGTGCAAGAGGCGTCCAGACTGCGTGTTGTCAGCAGATGCCCGCAGGAGTCTATTGCAAGCTGGGAGGAACGTATTTGAGAAAGTAACGTACCGTCCAATAGCAGGAGGTCAATCCTCTCCAGCATGCCCTCGTCAACCTTCAATGTTTCCAGCAAATCCCCCTCCCGCAGCTCAATCCATGGTTCAACTTCATCACCTGCCTCCTTCCAATGCAGTCTGGCCTTCACTGCTTTAGCATGCTCCTTTTCTGTCGCGATCACCTTTCCGGTGAGCGAGGTAGTCCCAGCAGCTATCTTCCGTTGAAGGAGCACATTCTGGCCCACTGCCAACGCTAAATATATCGTCGACAGCCCGAAACTTGTCCCAGCCTCGATCACGTTGCATGCTCCAATACTTCTTGTAAGCAGATAGACAAACTGGCATTTATCTCGGTCCAAAGCGACAAACTTATCTCACATGTGCTCATCGGCGGTGGCGGACCATGTCTCATCAAACGCAAAGAAGCGAACAAGCCGAGTCAAGTAGAAGAATCTTTGGGACCAAGACTTCTCTTCCGCGTCCGATATAGCATGTAGCTTCTGCAGAAGTTGCTGTACTCTTGGACCTGCCACAACCGTTGTCTGTGAGTCACTCTTCATCATTGACAATGAATTACCGGGCGAGGTCGTGGCATCCAGCTACACTAAGGTGGAATGCGCGAGTCCAAGAGTCGTTCGTTAGTACGCGAAGGGCGTAGTCTCTTTATTAAAATCGGGTCTTGGGTTGCAGTCCAACCTGAAGAGGTTGGCACACAAAGGGTTGGGTTCTTTTGCGCGATTTTTGCGCTCTGACCAAGCACTGACCAATCCACCCAACTAGCAAGCGTGCTACACCCCGTGGAGCTATCTCATAACCGGGTGTGGGCAGCTGAAAGGCTGCCCATGTGTCTACGGCATCCTCAGTGCCAATCCGTGAACTTGAAGATTCCACCACTTCCGCCTCTTACGAACTAGTACCACAGTAGTTGCAGTCGTGATCAAAGGTCTATGGCCATTGTCGGCCCGAGAAGTGGCGGACCTATTGGCCAGTAATGGCGCGGGATCAAGTTCCTCTGTTTCATTGACAAATGCCTTAATCCATCCGTATCCTCGATGCGGGGCAACCTCAAGCGTTGAGAAAGTTCGTTTGCGAGGATTGAATTTGTGATTCATGCCACTTACTAGCGTGCCGTCGTTCGAAGTGAGTGTATGCTCACACATAGCGATGATACCTGTGCGGGACGCGGAAACTGGTGATGCGTGGTTTGTGCCTGTTTTAGTGCCCAAAATGCTTGTGCCCATATGACCCCTCTCTGGGCACTTTGGTCGTGATCCTGTAATAAACTCGACAGAGTTTTGAAAATATTGGAACACGCGGAAATGGCTCGGAGTGTCGTCAGCAGCCGTAGAGTACTCAGCAGCGGCCTCCTTGGCTACGCCTGGCTAAGGGAGGAATAACGAATAACAAATAGCGAATCGCGATGGCTGGAACATGTGCAGGGTTCCGCTTCCTCGCTTTTGATTCCTGGTCTTCTTTTCCCCTGCTTCTGCCTCTGCTTCTGAACCCCTTGGCCCTCTCCGTCCTATCATCTCCCTCGTCGTCCCCCAGCTCCTGCTTTTTACTCAATCCTTTACACCTTGTCCTAGCCACCAAAACACTTTCCAACTCGGTCACAATGCTCATCCTCCTCTCCATACCGTAGAGCTGGGTCTCCAAATCCTCTGGCTGCCTGAGTTAAAGAACAGCCATCTTGCTCGTTCATCTCTGGAGTCCTTGAACCCTCCATTACTATCACGTCCTCACCATCCTCCGGCTCCACGGCACACGCTGCGCCTTGCTGATCTGGCCCTCACCTAACCCGTATCTCACTCCAATCAGCGAATCTCGTCTGACCCTTGGGCCTAATTGCAACACCATCCCACCAACCATCCCGCCTGTCTGCTGGCCGACAAGACCTGGACGCCTGTCCTGCCACTCTCTTCCTCCAATTGTCTCTATCTTTACATGTCGGACTCGGACCTTCTCCCCTTACCTCCTCTCGAGGCCCAGTGTAGCCCGAAGAAGTAACAAGTACACCAATACCTTTACAAAGCCTACACCTCTCTTCACCAATACCTTTTCCTTCACAACCCCAACTACCATGCCCGACCCCCCAGACACCGAAGCCTTCACTGACATCACAAACACTGACGATCCCTCAACTTCAGCAATGGACAGCTTTATCTCCTCCTTTCAGAGTGAATTCGAAGCCACCAACACTCGCACTGCTTCTCGAGGTCCTAGTGCCACTCAATCTACCACTTCAGGGGACGCAAGTGCCACTGTAGCTGCTACCGGCTCTGCTGCCACCGCCTTTGCCACCTTCACCTCTGCCTCTGGCAAAGGAGCATCGGGGAGTATAACTGGCAACCCCTCCAACACCGCCAGCAACGCCGCCAGTAACACCAGCGAAGGCGCCGTCACCGTCAGAGAAAACTCCTGCAACAGCATCTCATGCTCCCTGGCCTTGAAGGCCACCATTGCTGTTCCCATCGTCGTGGCCGCTATAGCGGTCGCCCTTCTGTTCTTCTTTTGCGCAAGGAGGAGGAAGGGGAGAGCTGCTAGTGCTGCTGTATCAAAAAAGAGACCAAAGAAAGCTAGCAAGAAATGGTCCCGCCATCTACGCGCCTTCTCCTTCGACGCCGAGTTACTCATGGGTGGTCGCTTCTCCAGCTCCAACAGCATTCGGAGTCGAGACCCCAGCGTGCGTAGCGCAGGCGACGATTCCCGCAACGGTGCTCACAGTGCAGAACCAAGCTTGCGCAGCATTGAGAAAGTGGCTCCTCCATACAGAGATGCGATTTCAGGTGCTCAGCCTATGAACCCTAGTCCTCTCCGTCATGTAAATCCAGCCATTGCTGCCGCGGCAGACCCCATCCCTCGCTCAGTCTCATCAGCCACCGCACCATCTCCATATCGAACAGTCGCTGGGGAAGCGGATAATCCTCCTACTCCCATCTCCACTCGAAATCCTTTTGCAGATTCCGCACCCGTCAGTCCAATCGACGGCTCTCCTTTCATCGAACCCCCTGAGGATGAAGAGGCCGCTGCGGGTGCGATCCGACCCACGATGAGTCGTGGATCTTCCCTCTACCAGAGCGTTAACGCGGACGACGCCTCAGATGCCGCGAGCATATGACAAGCGCAAATTGGCAGAAGTGTGTCGGCCAGACAGGTCGCTAGTGCAAGTAATGGCAGCAGCTAATAATAACGTTTTGATAAACGTGTTAAATTGTTCCTTATGTTATTAATCATGGCGTGGCGTTCGATTGCTTGAATCGTTTCATTTGGATGGGTATCTCGTACTCTCCGGCTACATCTCTCCATTACAGGCATCATATCGAGAAAAAAGGAGAACCATCGGGTTCAAGACGGACCCAAAGAATGTTTGAAACGCGGATATATTTTGTGATGTCTGATATAGATACCTTGTACATGAGAGCATCCAGGGATGGGAAAGAAGAGAGAGGAGTGAGCGAAGGCATGCTTGCGAGTGATGCGACGGGGCGAGTTCAGCAAAAAGGCAGAGCAGAGCCGGAGGACGAGAGTGAGATATTGAGCAGGGGCGACAAAACTCTTAGATGGGAACCACCAAACAGATGGGAAAGGGAGGGGCTGGCGCCGGTAGCTATGCTTGTTGGCTATGCTATGCTCGGGATACTACCTGAAATTATCAATGTCGAATCTTTCGCAAAAGGACTCATTTCCTGGAGATGATGGGTATCTTCTATTGTTCGTTACTGTGACCCCCTTGCACCTTCCTCAGGTTCAGCTGCAGCTGTTGATCGTGGTCATAGTGACACGACATATACGCACGGCTTTCGCTCCTCATTCATGCCTTCCACTTATATCAATCGACCCAAGGGTACGCCCATACCGCGGCCTCGTCTACACAGCCTCGCAACACCACTTGGTGAAAGTGCGGTGAGAGGCTGTGAGATGTAAAAAGGTGTGCACCGTTACGACTGTATCACGAGAAAATGACAGGAACATGCAGGAACACGGACATTGCGTAAATCTGGGAGACGGGGAGCCCTGCGGCGGCTCCATCAGCCTTCAACCAGTCCATGAGATCATGTTTGAGCACTTCCAGGTGCCTTGCGTTCTCAACGAAACAATCTCTTATCGCATCAAAATCTTCTTTGGATTGAGGTCCGATCTAGGCTTCCTGGCTATCAAACATCATTTGACCTGTTTTCAGCTGTGGGAAAAAGAAATCCTTCATCATCAAGACAGCCTCTGAATCCTGGTTAACGCGTTCCACGCGTCTCAACCCACCAACCCACCCTTCTCAACAACCAACCACTGAACCAATTCGCTCTCAATTAAGCTCAAATGGCATCCAATCAAGAAAGTGCGAAGAAATGGGTCCAGGTATCTCCAACTGCAACTACTACTTAATCTATCTTGCGTCCCCCGGGTGTGACTACTATCTACCTTCTACGTATATGTTAAGTAACCGACCAGCCCCACCATCCAGTCTAAAAGACCCAATCATCTTGATCGAAAAGTTTATCCGATCACACTTTGCCTAGACCAACCAACACCAACAATGCCGCGTTCATCACCACCAGGACAAGCCAGATGGCTACCGCCAGCGCCGTTGTGAGCCAACCATTACGCATGTTGACGGCTTCTCCTTCACCTCGCCTCCCCTGAAAATCAACCCGAACGGTCATGATACTGCTGCGGCACGTGAAATACACAAGTGGTACCGTCACGAAAGGAAGGATGACGCTCAAGACGACCTGAGTTGCCGTAAGTGTCCTGTTCAAGCCGTTTTTGCCGACTGCCCCAGCTATGATGATGCTGGGAACAATACTGATAGAGCGGGTGATCAATCTCCTCATCCACGGCTTCACGGTCCAATTAAGCATTCCCTCTGAAACCATCTGTCCTGCCATTGTGCAGACTATACCGGCGGAAGTACCCGAAAGGAGTAGAGCGAGGGCGAAAACCGTGCCAGCTGCTTTGGAGAGATTTTGGGAGAGTAGATCGTGAATACCGAAAAGATCTGCCTCGGTTGCCTCTGTTTTGGGGTAGAGAGAGGCTCCGGAAACAATCAAGATGGCTGAGTTGACGAATAGTGCGAAGGTAAACAATGAGGTGCCCAATTCCACAATGGAATATTTCATGCAGGCTCGAATGGCATAGATCGATGGTATGTATTTTTCCTCTTCGTCATCAGAATTATCGACGGCCAAATGACCATTCTGGACATCAAAGTGCTTCAACCTTGGCTGAACGACCCCTGACCCTAAGAATATCGAATGTGGCATCACGGTTGCACCAATGATACCGCAAGACAAGTAAATACCATTGTCTTTGATGATGGCCGAGGATGGAAGATAACCTTTGAATACTTCGCCGACTGAGGCGTCCTGAATGTATGATAGTTGAATGCAAAAGCAGATCACGACGCCGAGCACCAGGGCCATAACGAAGTATTCGAACAATCTCAACTTGGTCATGGAGCCATCAGGGCGATAGAAGAGTAAGAGAACAAGGACATCGACGAGAGTGATTGCACACCCAGCGACGAGGGGTATATGAAGCAAGAGATTCAATGCAATTGCTGAACCAACAACCTGATATCAATTAGTAGGAACAGGAGGTAATTCTGTACTCAGACTTACCTCTGCGATATCCGTGGCAATGATGGCGGATTCGGCAAAGATGTACAAAGTAATGGTAAGCCATTTGGGTAGATGCTTTCGGCAATTTTCAGCCAAATTCAACCCCGTAACGGTGCCCAATTTGATGCACAAGGACTGCAAGAAAATAGCAAATAAGTTGGACATCAAGATAATAAACAGGTGTTTATAGCGTGTGGCGGCACCGGCTTCGACGTCAGTGGCATAATTGCCCGGGTCGATATAGGCAACGGCGATGAGGAAGCCAGGCCCAATGAATCCACTGTACTTGACTAGGACGTCGCGTGCTTTGAAGATAAAAGCCTTTGGTGATCGTAAGTTCATGGATTTTCGTGAAGGTCGTTGATCTGGAGAGGCTGTCATAGGATCGAGTTTGACACCACTGACTCCTTTTCCGGATGATTGATCTTCTGCCTGGTCGACGGGGTTCACCCATTCTTCTTCTTCATGATTGATTCCAAGACTTGATCGATCTGATCGTTGTTCTCTCAGATTGACAATGCCATTGAGGTCAACCTTGGTGGTAAGATCCGAGCTCAAATGATGTGGGTTCTGATTCCAATCAGGATGAGCCGATATATCGTCTGACCTGGAAGGGTAATTCATGGTGAATAAGGTTGATACAAAAGTAAAGTCAATTGAGAGTATAGGACAGTAGACAGTACGGAATAGGTAGAGTTATATGAGTCTCGGAGTGCCCAGACACATTCGAACCAAACTTTCAAGGCTTCAGACGCGGATTCTCCCGAACTCTTCTTGGAGTGAGGGGAAGATGTCGGCTGATTGGTTTTGAGAAGGCCGTTTATCAATCTGAGCCACGTCCTACGCTTTGGGATTTGAGTAGTACCTGCTCACCAAGTACGAGCATGGTCCGCCTGCGAATAGGACGTCAGCAGTCAATGTAAGCAGCGGTAAATCTAGGGACAGAAGGCCTGGGCGTGCATCTGGGGGTCCAGGAATCCCTTGATACGAGTTTGACACAGGTCTAGTTGGAGCTTGGCGAGAGCCGGACTTGCACCACAGTAATTGCTGCAGTGTGATATTGTAGACAGTCGGTGGATGAACTTTCTGCGGGTGCTGTAGCATATGCAGGTTTCTGGTGGGTTTTGATTCGCTTGCCAATGCATTGGTAGATATGATCTACGGTTTTGGGTTCATTGGTTGCGGAAAGTATGGAAAGTCAGTCCCCGATAATTAAAGGCGGCGTACTTGTACCTAGTGGATTGAATATATGCCTGCCAAGATAGCGAAGACTGCATGGGATATCTTTTCGTGGCCTCTCGGTGCTTAGTTAGTAATCGCTACTTGTAGTGAGAAAGTATAGTTGATTAAGATCAACTAGGGAAAAGAAGGTTTAGCTTAAAGAATCGGAACGGAGAAGCATAAGTACTTGCTAGGCAGTACTACGGTGCAGTATTTGTCAAGAAGTGAACTATTTCCTCAGCTAGCCAGCCTTACCCTAGATGAAATCGTAGGGTTTTCCCTAATAATGAGGTTCAACCTATGTATCTAGTCTAGGTAGTTCTCCTTGGAGACCATCTTCATTAGCCCCTCGATGCAGCTAGGTAGATGTAAAACAGGAATGAATAAATAATATGGATAGTAGGAGATAATATCAGCGTCTCGATCTCGGTTGGATCATCGATAAGAGCCGTTAGGAAGGCGGTATCCGCCTTGGTGAACAGCAGGACGTAGTGACCCCATCTCTGGCGAGGCAAGAAGTGGTATCCTCATCGCAAATGAGGCTCCTACGCGTCTCTTCGGGCTTGGGTTAATAATATCAATCAACAAGATATAAAGAACAAGGAATGGGAGCGATCAAACCAGCCTGGTTTACTTTTAGGAAAACAAATATAAAGTTAGGTCCACAAAGTCTTCCAAGAAAAGCCAGCTTCACTCCTAAATCTGAGAAGTACATACACTTGCTGGCGCTTTTTTTCAAATCTCTAAATAAGCATCATGATCGAATTCAACGGTCGTGTACAACTGGCTCACGTTGATTTTCGCTGGCTTGTCCATATTTTGGTGCGAGTACCACGCTCCAATGTTGTTTCACCGCTCCCTCTGTTCGGCCAGTTACAGATATTACTCGTAGAATACAGTTGGTGGTGCCGAGGACTCACGTTTTCGACCATGTCGACCACGGCTTACTGAGTCTCCTGCATCTGTGGCTGGCCTCCTTCAGCCACAGCCCATCGGAGCTCCCCTATACTACCATGGCACTAACCGGATCCAGCACCAAGCGCTCATTGAGCAGACGATTTCACTAAATGCGTTTCCACCTCTATAGGGCAAAAGGTTTACATGAGGCACCCGGAGAGACCTTGCACATCGGAAAACAATTAATAATGAGCCATTAGCTTCAGAAACATAACATATCATTAATAAAGATAGTAGACGTTAAGTGGACTATTCGCATAAGGTCGGCTATGCAAGGAATAGAAGGCTAGAGTTGAACTAGCTTAACGCAAAGAGATCTATGTACCTTACTCTAGCCAGCTCTATAGGGTTAAACGTCATTTTGTACTCCGTAAGGGGAAAAGTCATAGGGAAAATTTAAAAGGGAGGGGAACTAGGAGCCAACGGCTCGCGTTCTTAATATAGTCGACCGCACCTTAGCGGGCCCGCTGTACCTACCGCTTAACGCTAAGCTAACTCGCGGGCGGGTCATACCATATATGGCGAGGATCTCTTCCCAAATTTCTAACACGTCCTCTAAGCACGATCACTATTTACCGCCCTCTTAAGCGCCTTGATAGGGGACCTAAGGGCTTTCTTATTCCAATCCCACCCTATACTTTATATACTCTTGTCCAAATGTGTCCTCTTTTAACGCTTCCGCGCGTCTTACGGTCGTCTAGTTTAGGCGCTACATTCGTTTATACCCATCTTTCTCCGACCACCTCTTAGTTGAGAGGTTCAAATCCTCGTCACTCTACTAGTGTCCGCCTCGTCTCTTAATCCTCAGTGCTCGCCCCTACCTTTAATCTCCTAGTTACTACTCGACCCGTACTATACATTCGTTCTCTATGGCACGGCGAAAGAACAAGATTGTGATTCCAAGCGCCAGAACAACTACTACTCTAAAAAGTCTTGATGAACGTCCGTCTTAGGCTGGCATACCGGAAAAGCGAAGGAAATACTCTCACTCGCCTACGTCTGTAGGAAGTAGTAGTAGCATCGAGAGGCTGCGATTTAGAAAACGATTGAATAATGACGTGCGCTCGAGCGTGTCAGAGCCCTCGTCTAACGGTAAAGATAGGGAGATATATTCGGAATATCGTCCTACTCCGGAGACTAAATGTTCTTTAGATGAATATAATAGCAAGCAAAATTTTATTAACTATAAGTAAATATAAGAGTTCTAACATAATACTTCGTACTAATAATCTAGACTATAGCTTAATAATTAAGGTAGGAGAGTTCGTTTTTATTAAGAACGACTCTACGGAAGATTAGATAGCCCGTGTAGAAAGAGTCTGTAGGAAAAAAAGAAAGCTCTATATTCGTTAAATAAGGGAAGATAGTTAAGAAATTATAATAGATAATAAGTTTACCTAGCTCTCGGTAGATACTATCTAGGATTTAGTTTAACTAAGGCCGTAAGTCTACTCCCCGATTATAGAGGAGTATTAGATATACAAGACCGCTATAAATCGCCCGCTCCTATTACCTCTAAGAGGTAAGCACGTACCTTTATAGACTAGCTCGGTAGAGAATAGTAAGTCGAACACTACCGAATCCATTTTCCGCTAGACCCCTTTCTTAGACTATAATATCGTAGGGACAACCTAGTACCCGATTAATAATCTAGAGGGCGATACCTACCCCGTTCCTAAGATGACTACTAAGACTAGGTTGCTACCTCTCCAGCTAAGGGAATCTCGACAATAGAATTTACCTCTACTATAGGAAGTATTGGGTTATTATCGCCATTATCCCCCTATCATCCTCTTCGCTACTAGCTACTAGTCAACTAAATAATAACTAGACTGTAAGGTCTGAAAAGGAGGGAAGTAAGCACTATAGGTAAAACGTTTCTACTAGGTATTATAGAACGTTCATTCGTTGGAAATAAGTTACACGAAGCCATCAGCCAAAAGCGTTTCGAGAATTAGAGTATTAGCATTCGAATCCATTTTACTCGGTAGAACTAGGAGCATTCGACTTTATAAAACGTCTAGGTCTTTCTATACCTCTTAAAGTATTTTCATCATTATCGAAGGAAGGCTTTCATCTTCCTCTTTCCTTAATCTACCATAGGGGAAAACTACCCTCCTAAGCCTATTAATCTATAGCATCGTTTAGAAACTAAAATTTAACTTAAAGAGACAACTAGTTTTAGGATAGATTTAGGAAATTAGCCTAATAGTAATTGCTTAATAAGCTAAGAGAATTAGGAATTCGGATATAAATCCGCACTATATTAATAAGATTAAGTCATTATACTTCTAAAATTCAAGAGTACTATAGGGGAAAGGAAAAGATCTACTCGCTAGGCCGTAATCTCCTCTTCTAGTGTCTCCGGCTTACGAAATTACTCGAGTTAGTAAATACTAACTAGCTCCGTAGAGTTAAATTCCATTTAAGTTAGGCTGCATCTATTAATGACTTTAAATCTATATCTATAATCCGCGGTGTCTCGCTACTAAAGGAGATCCGAGATATATATAGAAAGCGTAGGAGTTAGAGAGCGGAGAAAACTTCCCCTTACTTAGTCTAAGACGTCGAGAAACGCAGCGAACACGGGTAGAGGAAGTCGCTCGAGCCTATATATACAACTAAGTATAACGTTAATCGTATATAGATAAATTACTTACTTAGTAGCCGATATCCCTTTAATCGGTATTAGGGCAACTACCCCGGTTAAGATCGTCTCCTCTAGCAAGATATAGTTTCGGGCGGCAGAGAGCCGATATTATAGCTATAATTTCTTTCGCACGAATTCGTCGTCCTATAGATCGGGAGAGCCTCGCGCCATGCTCCATCCGCGTTAATAAGACCCTACCTAATAAATTATACGCTTAAATTAGAGAATAACAGTAAGCACCGCCGTTAAAACGCTTCCTTCTTACTCCTCCTCGCAACCAATACCCCGCCACGACCTCCAATCATCCGACCTAGTAATCCTATATCCACAATAGGCCCCTTTAATGTCGATTCCCTTTAAACACAACCCAGCGATACTATAGACCTTAAAACGACGTCACTCTCTCTTACGCTCTTCTAAAACCCTACTTTACTTCCGCTAATCTTTACAGCCAACGAACCATCGGCCTATATCGGTTCCAAGCGACCTCCACTTTCATCTACCTACACTACTTACCTACTCTCTCTCTAGCGATCACACTCCCTCGATCCCTATCGCAATACTACTCGCAAATAAACTACTACTATCCTTCCTACCACCTAACCCGGGACCTTCTACATTCTATCTCGATCTAGTCGCCGACTACGCAACTAAGCCGATACATCGTTCGTTAGGTCTAGACTATAAGTCGATAGGTAAGGAAAGGGAAAAGAGGACGACTTCTACAACGAGAAATAGGTCAACCGGGCCGAGACCCAACGCCCTAGTTTCTATCATCGCCGACGGCTACGACTTCCTCCCCGTATCCTATCGCTATAACCGCGTCAGACGCCGCCGAGGTACATTCTCGCCCAATCATTTCACCCATAATTTCGAGCGCATCCTCTTCCACCTTAGAAACAGAACAAACATCTTAACTATATTCTCCCCAGCTAGCCTCCAGGCGTTCGCGAATAGAGATGACTCGGCTTGGCAACAGACGGAGATCGAATGCGATCATAGTTCCAAAAGAGCTAGGCGTGGTTTAAAAGGAGAAACCACAATATCCGGCAGACGACGCTAGAGCCATAAGTCCAAGACGGAATAGTAAGGACATTGAGATACTAGAGCAGTATATCCGAGAAAATCTCAAAGAGGAGGTCTATATTCTCTCATATATCCTAAACTATACTGACCTCCTCCCAGACAAGCTCGAAATATACAATCTTCGCTAGCCGCACTGGCCGAAAAGATTGACGAAGTAAAATCTAACCACGACAAACTCGAAAATGCAAACCGTTTCCTTCAAGACTATATCGGCGGTCTAACGAGATTAATATTAAGATACGACCCGGCCAGAGTACAAGCGCGAAGAAAGGAAAATTATAAACGCTATTAGGACATCCTAATTTCCAGTAGCCAATATACCCGCAATAATCTAGTTTTCATAAGCACAGCATTAGGGTCAAGGAGGGAACTAGCGAATTAAGCAGAAAAGCCACTAACTAATGCTGAAGGCCATCGATCTTTATAATCCCGCTAAGCCATTAACGGAGATATCCAACAGTCTAGCTCCGGAAGATGTACGACTAGATTAGGACTAAGAAGTAGATCGTTACTGTGTCGCGACTAGTCCTCGTATACGGCCGCGAGCAAGCCAACCGAAAATAACGCTCCGCCTTAGCATTAAAGGAGAGCTAATTACCTCCTAATCAACTAGTAATAGCGGAATCTCGATAACTATATTAGGTTGCCTTCGTACATTATTAGTTAGTTATTAAGTTTCAGTTAAAGGGTTTTTCGAGACGCTCTCTACAATAAATGAAAATTAGTTACGACTAGCTTTCTAGGAGGCGCCGCAGAGAGGGTAAAACCGATCTTGCAAAGGTAAAGGAGCTTCGTCTCAAAGTACGAAGAAAGTGCAAGTCCTACACAGTATACATTCCAGAATCTAGCATTATATCTTATTAAGCTAAATAAGTATAAGCAAGCCGAAGAGCTCTACCTATAGTACAGTACTAACTAGTAAGAGAAGGGCACGGGAAATATATTTAGCTCCCTATCGAGATAGGTAGCTCACTCTAAACACTACGAGAAGGCGCGAATTATATCAGGGGGAATAACTAGCCTTTGGTAGAGTAATAATACTCCCTATTAAAGCGAGGGATCGTGAAATTATACTAGTAATAGCGCCTAAGACTAGGCCTCGAAAATCGCATGAACTTAATATCTATTGTACTTATCCTATACAGTAAGTGTAGACTTTAAGTAACTCCTAGGGACAGGTAACCCTCAGGGCTACTCCAACGACCCTAAGATAGTGGTCAAGGCAGCTGGGCAAGCAGCGGGGGCTATATTTCGATGACTCACCTAACGACGTAGTTAGGTTAGTAGGTGACCACGGCCTCCACCCAATCATATTTCTCAACGCTAGCCTCAACCGCTAGAGTATAATTCACTAGTTGCAAGTAAGCACACAGCTATTAAACGCTTTTTAATCTTAATTCCTAGGCTATAGTATACCTACTCACTTATGTCGAATAGGGTCGCTAATGGGTTCGCTCCGACTTCCACTTACGTCAGAGCTTAACCATCCCCCGACTAGTAGGTTCTGATTTCAAAGTTAATTAAGTTCCAGCCTATGGAAGTTGCCGCCTAGGACTGTTTCGGGGCATATTCTTGGCAGCTATTATGCCAAGTTTTAGGGGCCAAATATTATGCCAAGGCGTGCAAATCGCACCCAATTTGGCTGTGAAATCGACTGGTTTTGCATCGAGTTGCATTAATATCGATAAGTTTGCACCTTAACGTCGTCGACGCCGTTTTGTATAGACCTTTTTGGTGTTTATTCCTGCTCTTAAGTCCTCCTCTTTTAAGTGCTCATTTATCACTCACTTATCGCTCAAATGGCCAATTCTGCCTAGACTGCTCCTGCTGGGTGCTACGAGCACCACCGCGCGGCCGTAGAAAGGTTCGTGAACTCGCTGTCAGTCGCCTGGCGGCAGGATCCTACTGTAGGAGAGGTATTCAAGGACCGCAAAGAAGCTGAGGCTCGTCTGTAACTCTTCTCGCTGGTGCAAGGATTTAACGTCGTTTATCGAGGCGGTGGTAGTACTAGTCAATTAGGCCTTGAAATACGGTGTGTTTATTTTAGCTAAGTGACTAGGAACTATCGCGCCTTGGAGGATCGAGTAATTCGTAATAAAGAAGGTAATATTACCTCTTAACGTAGGCGTGACGGTATAAATGTCTACTAAACCGACTGTAATTAGCGGATAAGGATTGCCTAGGTATTAATCGATAAAAAGAATAAGGTATAGGGTAAAGAATGGCGCCTCACAAAGGCCTCACTAACTCACTAAGGTCACGAATTACTTAAAACCCCTTTAGCTACTTATCCTACTTATAAAAGGAGTATTCCTAAGTTCTAGGAGCTATTAATAAAGGCTACTACTCATCGACGTACTCAAATTATGTACTCTACTTCTCGTAGGATCTTAGAGAGTAAGGATTTAGCGCTGTATCTATCTAGTCGAGAGTTTTATAATACACTAAGGAAGACACGCCTTAATGGCGAGAACAACTCGGTTTTTAGCCTTATCGCCGAGTTATAGGAGCATTAATAGATCTATTAAACTAGGGTTAAGGTCTATACCACTAAATAGGGCCACTTTAGCGGTAGAAAACTTATTTAAGTCTAGTTTACTCACCCTAAATTAATACAAGTAACTCAGCGCTTTATTAGTGACTTTTACCTTATTATCGATGGGACCTTTAATATAAACCGCCTAAAACTACCTCTTCTCGTCGCCGTGGGCCAGTTAAACAGTAGTAAAACCTTTCCTACGGCCTTTTCCTAGTGTCCTAAGGAGGATGAGGCCTTATACAGCTTTTTTTAGTAGTGCCTCAAGGATCACTACTTTAATCGACTAAATAAGGTATCCTACGCACCCCCTCGAGTCATTATTAGCGACCAAAGTAAGGGTTTAACTGCGTCGATTCTAAGGGCCTTTCTATAAGCAAAACAGTAGTTTTATGACTAGCACGCCGTCGAGGCGATGGTCGTAAAGATGACGCAATTGGGCGTTCTAGGAGATGATATAAAAGTAACTTATAAAAGCGCCTACTGGCGATATATTACCTTAAAGTCGATTGATGAACTTAGAGAGAATCGGCGTGGTTTAGGCCTCGCTGTCGGCCCTCAATTTGCAAGGTATTTAGCCGAAACTTAGGTTCCAAAGGAGGACAAAGTCATATATCTCTATACTTATAAATTAGCTAATTTAGGCTCTACCGCTAGTCAAAGGGTTGAGTTATATCACGATACCGTTAAGGAGCTGTCAAACGCTCAACTATTACTTAAGGAGTCAGTAAAACGACTCATCATTAAGATTAACTTAATTATCAAGGATATAGACTAGGGTGAGGCCTTTTCGGCAGGTAGCTACTCACTGCTTACGCAGAGCGCTCCTTTTCGCCTACTCTGCATAAGCGTGAGCAAATTTGCTCTCAAACGCCTCGAGCGCCAATGGGCTACTCTCGATACTCAAATCACTACAGGATATAAAGTAGATTTACCGCCAAATAACTGTGAGTATAAGGATTTACTAAGGTTTAGCATTGCCTACGCTCATTACCTAAAAAAGGCCTATATTGAGAACTTAGCGATACCGAAAACGATGATTCATCTACGTTAGTAGCTAAATGGACCCCCTATTCACTCTGTTAACTGGAGACCTTTTTATACCGCCGTTCAAGAGCAGCCTATATCGAGTTCAATTGGCAACCAAATACCCTCACTTATCGCTCAAATATCTACGGTTCGAGGCCTTTAGACCCTGAGTAGAGGCACTAATTGGATATCCAATAAGGCTAGGCGGACCGCTGGATCGAGAACAACTCAATATTTACACTACAAAGTCTCCTACGTTAGGCAGAGAGTAGCTACTCTCTACAGCAAACCCCTCTATATCCACCAGATGCCCGTAGAGAGGGTCCTCTAGCTCGCCGAGGCGGCCATAGACCCACCAACGAGCGAGCACTCACGGCCAATGAAAGGTCTACACAGCAAGAGCGGCGGGAGTGACAGACAGCCCTACAACAAGAGCGCTCGCAAACAACTCAGGTAATAGAGCAAGCAGTGGCGGTAGAGCAAGCAGATATAGGTTCGAAGGCCCAAGGATTGCAAGAGAGGATTAATACTATAGAAACTACAGCAGAAGTAGCCCTTGAGAGCATTCCTAAGACTCCCCCAAGGTCTATAGGTCTGTCCTTACCTATAAGGACGCCTGAAAGGCCTCGCCCGCGCCGCCAGTGCTCACTAGAGGCAAAAGGCGCAGGTAACCGACTACAAAGACAGTTAATGCGCGTGACCAAGGGTTCATTCATTAAGCAATAGTCAAATATATACTCATTTATCAATATTGATGCAATTCGATGCAAAACCACTACAAAATTGGGTGCGATTTGCACGCCTTGGCATAATATTTAGCTCCTAAAACTTGGCATAATAGCTACTAAGAATATGCCCAGAAATAGTCTCTCTTCTTCTACATCTTCTGCTCTACTATATTTATGCTAACAAGAGAGTCCCCTAGATCCAGGGGCAAGTACGTCACGTGACAGAGAGATTCGGGTTGTAAGCAATCTAAATTTAGAATAGAGTAAGTAAGCACTTAACGTATGGCTTATAAGCAATCTAAATTTAAATGAATAAAGGTATAGGGATTTCGAGCATCTATTAATAGCTATTACTTTCTTTACAAGCTTAAAGAGAAACGTAGGGGGAGCTTTTCCGATTGTCTCTCCTCGTACTCGCCTAAAATCTAGAACGAGCTTTCTAGAACTTTACCAAATCCTCCCTACTTGGTACTCTCAATTTCAAAATGGAGTTCCTAGCTCCCGCTAACTATACGGCCTACTAAAGTTTACAGCGTTTCATGATTAAAACTCTTGACCTTCGCGCGAGCAGTTCTTACACATATCTCGCCATCGATTATAATATATTATATTAACGTTATCTACATATAGCAGCTTAGATTCTCGCTTACTATATATAGGTTAAAGAATTTCGATAAGCTCTCCTCCCTTTATTATAGAATAAAGAAGGGGCGTGTAAGGGAGAAATATCTCCCAATTTAGTCGAAAGTAGAATGCCCGCTAACATCGGGCCTTCTCCCCTACTCGACTCGAGAGTAGCTCCACTCGATAGAGATTACCCACTAAGCGATACAGTTGAAAATATTAATTTACTGGACTTTAACAACAATCATAGGCAGGCAAACCTAGACGCCTTACCTTACCTAGAAACTCGTTCAGAAACATACATCCTCCCTTTCAAAGACGTTAATACTACTAACGATGAAGAGACGTCGAGAAGTACCGGTGGAAACTATAAAT